GTACTGCAGACGGATGCAAGCGATTATGGTATAGGGGCATTCCTGACGCAGGAAACTGAAAGCGGCGAAAAGGTCATTTCATATTCAAGCCGGACCCTGAATGGCGCGGAAAAGAACTATTCAACCAGCGAAAAGGAATGCCTGGCAATCGTGTGGGCAATCCGGAAGTTCAAACCATACTTGGAAGGATACCACTTCAAGGTGGTGGCGGACCATATGGCGCTTAAATGGTTGAACAGCATCGAAAGTCCCTCAGGAAGAATAGCGAGGTGGGCCCTGGAGCTGCAGCAGTATGATTTTGAAATATCGTACAGGAAGGGGCAGCTTAACGTTGTCGCTGATGCACTATTGAGACAGACTCTAACAGAAGTCTTTAGGTTAGCCAAAAAAATTTCGGAGGACACAAAGGGCGCATGCAGCTGGGTCAAAGATATGTGTGAGAAAATCAACACACAGCCACAGAAGTTTCCTGACTACCTCATGGAGGGAGGTGCGTTATATAGGCATATCCCGCACAGAACAGGCTGCGAAGACGTGGGAGCATGGAAGCTCTGTGTCCCACGGGGGCTGAGGGAAACCGTCCTGAAGGAGAATCACGACTCAACAGCCGCTGTGCACACTGGAAGTCGGAAAACGATTGCAAGGCTGGCGTCTCGATATTACTGGCCATGAATGCATAGGGACGCCCGAGCACAAGTACAAAAATGCGAGACATGCCTTAAATACAAACCTAAACAGATGCAGGCAGCTGGGAAGATGCTGACCTTGTCTGACCATTGCCAAGATCAAAGCATGGTAACCAGATGCTGCTAGTGCTGATAGATAGATTTTCAAAGTGGACAGAATTGGTGCCACTGCGAACAGCAACGGCAGAAACACTTCAAAAGGCGTTCCGAGGAAGAATCATCGCTAGGTTCGGAGCCCCAAAGGTGGTAATAACGGACGGAAGTTAAATAACTCCACACAAGTTAGAAAGCAAGCAGAGTAAGCGCCTACCAGTCTACCAGCGAATTCGCCCGTAGTAACGGTAGTGCGCCCGTTGTACAGAGAGTGGGAGAGGAAAAGCAATACACGAGGGCAGCGAAGGGCCGTGGGCAGAAGGAAGTAACGGGACGGCACCGGACTTCGGACCCTGATATTGGTGCCGTACGCAGAGGGCGAATAGTCGAACTGTCAAACCGTGGACTTTGGACCAGGAGGCAAGGAGACACCCATAACTAGCGGTAAACAGAGGCCTATATAAGCAGGCCGAGCGCAAGAAGCTGGATCAGTCGTTTTCTACCAAGTCAACAAGTTACAATCATCAAGTGAACCAGTAACCAGTGAAACAATGTGAAGAACCAATTAGAGCCGTGCGGAGTCATCAAGGAAACAAGATCGCTACGTCGAGACGTTCGGGACTTAGAGCTAAAGTCTCCGAATTGAGACACAGGTATCACACGGCTAAGTCCAGGCGTCTTGTCACAATTTCTGTCGCGATTTGAGCTTGGCATCCCACCTGGGTGTCCGAAAGAGTTGAACAAATAGAGTCCTTCGACGAGGAACCGTGGGCTCGGAAGGAAAGCGGTTTTCAACTAGCTGCCTGCCTACAAGGACTACATTGGCGAACTCCGGCGTATGCCTGATCGTCCTGCAGGAATTGTACAAGGTCCTAGCGCGACTAGCCCGGAAAGACGCGCGTTTGTTCAGCTAGTGTCTCGAAAGGCGGATGCGTTGAGAGCACATCAGTTCACCGCTATAGTCCCAGAACGGCAGCTTACCGAATCGTGAGTGCTACGCCAACAAGAAGCGAAGCCAGTCGAGACATCCGGAGTCAGAGCAAGGAGAACGAGGACACCCAGGTCGACGAATATAAATACGTCGAGTTCTGAAGTCTGCTGCAGAGAATGTAGGGTGGAAGCGTTCGTGTAGAACCTGGCGTTTGAACCGCCAGGTAGAAACTGAGCCGACGTCCGGCGCCGACGCCGGGACAGAGCAAGGGACAGGAGGCTGCGGCTGAGAAAGGCGTTCGCCTTGAGAGCACAGTGCCTGTTCACCCTTGTCTGGGAACGGTAACGCATCCCTAAGCCCTGGAATCCCGCCGAGCCAAAGGCAACAGAAGGCATTGCGAGCGAAACCGGCGAGGGAGACACCATTTCGCAGCAAGCACAACCCAGAGAGACGTTCCTCGTGGGAAGGAGCCGATGGCGGAGCATATTTCCCCATTGTCAATACAAAACCCCGGCCGAGGGTCAAGTCGGCGAATAAAAGATCTTCTTAAGTTCCCAATCTTTCTGTGCGTTTTCACTGATCAATTAAGAGGCCACGTTTATATAAATTTGGGGGGGCGAACACTTATATTTTCTGAGCTAGCCGCACGACATTCGTAGCGAGCGGAGAAACCAAGAAAACCAAACTACAACAACAGCGGCAACTAAGTATAACAAGATAAGAACAACTGCAGCAACAACAACATCACCGAAAACCAACGACGACATCGGCTACAAACTATCATCGAAGACGGCATTGAGAGCAGCAGCTAAGTTTAATTAAATTAAAATGTATAAGTTATAAATGTTGTCCACTCAAACAATCCCTAATAAAAAGGCAGGTAGATATAACAAATGCCTTGAAGACCCTTGAGGAGTTAGCGAGCATGTCGTTAGAATTCATGAGGCAGTCATGATGTCACTGATAGGAATTATGACGAAGAGGTAAATGATGAGTTAAACGAATTAGAGTTTGACATTTCGACAGTAAAGAAAAATCTCCAGGAAATTGTGCCAAGTAAGGTAGGAGTTACAAATCATAAAACGGATGATTTGCCAACGCTACCTACAATGCAGGTACCCACATTTTTTGGAAATTCCAAGGATTTGGACAGGTTTTATGAGTCATTTAATGAGCTAATCCTTTTAAGTGAAGATCTAAGTCTTCCTTAAAAGTTAATTACCTCAATATCTCACTCAAGGGAGAAGTCAGAAATGTGATTTCTCACTAATTACTGGGATCTGGGGAGAATTATGAGGCCGCTAGCAAATTATTAATTAAGCGTTATGTAAAAAAAAGATTCAATTAAATCTCCTTCTTGAGCATTAAGGTTTAGATGTTGACTCAGTTAGGCAGTTAAGAATGTTTATTGACATAATAAATGAGTCAATACATTTGTTAGAATTAAAGACACCGTTATCCGATGAGGTTTATATAATCTTTGCACATATTATGAGAGCCATTTAAAAAAAATCAAAAGAAATTCAAACATTATCCGACGTCACTAAATTTTTGGAGCAACGGTTGTGTAAAAAAAATATTTAGTTGTAATGTAAGAACATTGTCTCATTGGCAAAAGTTTGGTACACAACAATTCGATGTCTAAAATTAAATGCTTTAAGTTCATTTGAATGAATGGTAAAAGTTAAAGAAAGAAAACATGTGTTTTAAATTTCTAAAGCATTCCTGTCACAAAAATGCAGTTGCGTTATTATTGCAAGAAAAGTCATCATTGCATGCTTCACGTAAATTAAAATAAAAATAATAAAAAAAGATAAAGTTAACACTTGCTTGACGTCGGAACAAGTCTTGATTGCTACAGCACGCGTTCAAATTTAATATTCAAATGGAGATTTTAAAACATTATGAGCTTTGATCGACGATCTGCGCAGATTTTAAGATTACCGAAAATTTGATCTCAAACAGAGATTGGTGGAGTGTCTTCCACACGAAATATAATCTCAAAGCAAAAAGTTCAGCTTTTTAGAATTAGTATGAATACCCAGAATGTTTTAAAGATAAAAGCACTAGTACTACCAAAATGAATGGGTACTCTTTCAGTTAACGCAGTTAATGTTGTCAAATCAAGGTGGAAAAATTATAATGGCTGACCCCGACTTTAATAAGACGGGGAGTGTAGATCTACATATTGGGACAGATTTATATGGGGTGGTTAAAATAGATGACCTCCTCGGTGAAAAATCCGATTTCGGGTAAGTCGGAACGAGCCGGAACGGACGACTATAGCATATAGCTCCCATAGAAACAATCGGAACAATAAGTAAAAAACTTTTAACATTGCTGTTTCTTAAATTTTCTTTTAGTTCTTCGACATATAGTAAAGGTTAAATATTTCAGAATTACGGTATAAATTTCATCAAAATCGGACGACTATGTAAATTTTCTAGCTTGTAATTAAAAAAAAATTTTTTTGACTTATTAATAATTTGGCAGTAGAATTACGCTTTTTATACTACTAAAATAGGAAGTAAATTTTAGGGAAAGTTTCATGCAGGTGGAAAGACGGACATGTCTATATCGACTCTTCTAGTGATGCTGATAAAGAATATGTATACTTTAGAGGGTCGGAAACGTCTCTTTCACTGCGTTGAAAACTTCTGACTGAATTTGTAATACCCTCTGCAAGGGTATAAAAATGGTACACTTATAGCCTGGTTCTATTGGTGCATTAGTGGACTTTTTAAATGTGCCTAATTCTATTGGCGCATTAACATTTCGACTTGTGAGTGGCACGAACAGCTGATCTCGGCTTGTTTACTTTTGAATTTTCGCAAATCAAAAGGAAATGAATTAAAAATCAAGAATATGAGCGAGCTTACGGATTTCTTTAATGCCCAACAAGACAATGATTTTAAATCGCATATATTTTTTAAATGCGGCGTTTAGCCTTAGGGGATTCCCTGTGTAAATTAATGCGCATTAGGCTAAAGCCGTAATGGAATCTGGCTATTAATTTAAAATTTCTATAAAGTATTGGGCTGCGGCAAAACCGAATCAAACAACAATTCGAATAAATCCCGCTTCAAATACAAATTTGAAATTCGCGAAATGTGTTTCACAAGAAGTCACACCCTAAACTTGTCACTCAGAAATGTACGCTCGCGCTGAACAACAATTAGCGTAACAATCCAAAATATATTTTTAAAAACTCAGAAAAAAAACAATTTATCACATTTATAACTATCATTGTCTTTGTGAAGTTGTAATTCTCTTTATTGTCTGTTTTATAGGTGGCAACAGGAAGTCTCTGAAACTGTATTTGAAACCGTTAATTCCGAGACCGATAGAATCGAACAAAAAAGGAAAGCAAAGCAAAAGCAGCACTTCGATACAGATGAAAAGGAATCTGATTGTATATTACACGGGTACATCAAAAAACTTGGAGGATCTTTTGCTTCTGTATGGCAAACTAAATATGCCAAACTTTATCCAAATAGGTAGGTGTGTATGTTTTTGGAATATACTGTCAATTATCAACCATCTTATATTTCTTGAAACAATGTACTCTGGACTTAAGTATATGTGTGATTATGTATCTTCCAACAGCAAAAAATTATAAGGGGACTCGGTTCGAAAATTTGCATTAGTGCTAGGTTAGCCTTGCCAGCTTTAGCTTTAAACATTATTTAAAACTTAAAACAATAGTAGTACAAACAGAAGTATATTTATTAATTTTTTTTTTTTATTTTGAAGGAAGTTTTTCCATATTAACTTAATATTAAGTATGTATTAAATGTTAATATTTAAAAAGTTCTTGACTGAAAGCTTCGTTTAAAAATAAATTCTATTTTCCTCAGCTGTGAACGTAAAGTAAGCCAAGTTGTCAAGCATCTGTCATATAAATATGCCCGAGATGGTTGACTGTAGTTTCTGTCATGATTGCTCACATGGAAATGATGTGAGTTGTACAAGAGGCTTTATATATAATTTGGAAAATCTTTTGGAAATTGTGACTTTTAACCATAAACGTACTAACAAAGTTTTGATGTGCAAGTGCTGTTTGTTTTGTTTGTTTTGTCTACAGGCTGACATTCATTCAATTTCTGTCTGAAAGTGGAATCAGCACAGCCAAGAGACATGAGATGCATTTGTTGAATGTGTGATACTTACTTAAAAAGAAAGAAGCAAGAATGGTTTTCACAATCAAGCGGTGAAATGAATGTCAAAATGCAATGGATCTCGTAACAAAATTGACATTCGTCAATCAGGCTGTCACCAGTCAGGATATTCAGGAAAATAAATTGTTCCTTCGTACGGTTTTGGAGATAGCGATTTCAACCAGACGTTAAAAACAAGATCCGACCCACAGATACGAGGGAACAACCAAAACTTAAATTAAATGAGTTTTTATTAACGGGATGCGCAAGTCTGGCCTCGTTATAGTTTCAAGTTATCACACATCCTTTAGTTTGTATTGTACTGATATTTATTATGCGGGTCTTCAATGCAGCCATCCACAGCATTTACAAATGCGAGCAACCGTCGTACACGTCTGATTGCCATATGCCAGATTCCCCGTAGTACCTTCTGAGCCCCCACTGATGCTCAATCATAAATGTAAAAAAAATTCTTTACCTACCCGGGGCGACCATTTGCTTCTCTCTGCTTTTGTCACGAACAACCCAAGTGTATATTAAAGTGGAAATAAAGTGCAATGATGTTCTAACTCAAACAACACGATATTGCATTATAAGTTTTGGCTCTGTATTGATGTTTTGGGGAACAAGCGACTTATTTGTTATTTTTATTATGAAAATCATTCAATAATTCTGAATAATTATTACTGGATTGTCAAAATAAATAGAGTAATTTCTAATAACTATAAAAATACAAATAACTATTTATTAAAATAAATACATAAATAATTGTACATATAATTGTTGTACATAATTTGTTTATAAAAATAATATAATAACTATTATCTATATATTTAAAAATGAAGTGGTTTTCGTTAGTATCGCTAAAACTCGACAACGGGTGAATCATCTAATGTTGGTCTTGATATGTTCGTGGAGGTCTAGAAAAGGTTTGTAATGTAAAAAAAATTCGAATAATTGCCGGTAAAACCAGACAGACAGCCCTTTTTTTCCCATACAAAAAGTTAGAGACAAGTAACCTTCGTGATAGTGGCATGCCAAGTAATTGCTCTTTTTTATACCCTTGCAGAGGGTATTATAATTTCAGTCAAAAGTTTGCAACGCAGTGAAGGAGACGTTTACGTCCGTTTCTATGCAAACTAGTCTCTCAGTTTAAAAGCTTTCTGCATGAAACTTTCCCAAAAGTTGGAACGAGCCGGATCGGACGACTATAGCATATAGCTCCCATAGGAACAATAGGAAAAACAAACAAGAAAGCAAGCAAACTTCGGCAAGCCGAAGTTCATATACCCTTGCAGCTATTGCAAGAATTAAACATTTTTGAAAACATTAAAATAATGATTTACTTGCGTATATGTTTAAAAATTGATACTATGATGATTTGCAGCTCAATTATTTGATAGTTATTTTATATATTTTTATTATTTCTGATATAGACGTCCGATTTTGATAAAATTTAAATCATAATTCTGAAATATTTAACCATTGCTATATGTCGAAGGACTAAACCAAAAATTAAAAAACAGAAAAGTTATAATTTGTTTTCATTTATTTTTCCGATTGTTCCTATGGGAGCTATATGCTATAGTCGTCCGATTTTGATGAAATTTAAACCGTAAGTCGGTAATATTTAACCATTACTAAATGTCGAAGAAGTTAACAAAAAATTGAAAAACAGCAAAGTTATTTTTTTTTCATTTATTTTTCCGATTGTTCCTATGGGAGCTATATGCTATAGTTGTCCGATTTGAATGAAATTTAAACCGTAAATCGGAAATATATAACCATTACTAAATGTCGAAGAACTAAACAAAAAATTAAAAAACAACAAAGTTATAATTTTTTTCATTTATTTTTCCGATTGGTCCTATGGGAGCTATATGCTATAGTCGTCCGATCCGGCTCGTTCCGACTTATATACTACCTGCAATAGAAAGACAACTTTTGGGAAAGTTTTATGCAGATAGCTTTAAAACTGAGGAACTAGTTTGCATAGAAACGGACGGACAGACGGTCAGACGGAGGGACAGACGAACATGGCTAAATCGACTCTACTAGTGATGCTGATCAAGAATATATATACTTTATAGGGTCGGAAACGTCTCCTTCACTGCGTTGCAAACTTCTGACTGAAATTATAATACCCTCTGCAGTGATCTAGCCATGTCCAAATGTTTTCAAGAATAGCAATAGCAATAGCTGCAAGGGTATATGAACTTCGGCTTGCCGGAGTTTGCTTTCTTTGTTGTTTGTTTTGTAAAGTCAGACTCGTTGAGATAAAGTCAGCAATTTCAAAATATGTCGGAACGGTGTTATTAAAGTAGAATAAATACTTTTAGCTTTAATAATAATATTGCATTTTTGTGGTTTCTGCTACTCCATTGGCCGGAATCATGTAAGCAGTTCTGATTTTTTTTAGCTCCTTCTGAGGGAGCACATAGCTCCGTACTTTTCCAAATATTTTTATAAAAAAAATTAAAAGCAAAAAAAAAATTTTTTGATTTTGCCCATATTATACCTTATTATGTTCGGCAAAAACTTTAAAACATTCAGCCTAGTACTTTCTTTTAAAGTAATTCCTGCTTTTGACTACTAAATTAAAAAAAAATATTTCTTGTTGACCCAATTAGTTCAAACTGAATTCCCCCCAGTGTACTAAAAAAAGGTGTGAACTGTGAAAAGTGTCTATCGGAGAAAATCGCGGCAATAAACACCGCATCAGCAGGCTTTTTAAAGGTGATTTTTAGAAACTTTCTTTTTGGCAGCCCTAGTTTTTACAGTTAACGCTAGTTTTTTGCTTTGTAACCCTGATTAATATTTTCAGCTGGGCTTATAATTTAACAATGAATCGTTTAACAAACGAACAAAAGTTGCTAGTTTAATAATTTTACTATCAAAATGATTGCTCTGTTAAGAAAGTTTATCGCGCGCTTCTTCCATTTTATGGACGTAGACCTTATCTGTCGGATATACGGGGTATTGTGATAAAATTTCGCACCAAATTTACCTTATTGGACATTAAGCCATCAATACGTTCATGTAATGTGCGAAATGAAGAAAACATCGCAGCTGTGGCTGCCAGTGTCCAAGAAGACCGTGAATTATCAATTCGGCGCCGTTCACAGCAGAAATGTTGAAAAGAGTATGCCACAATTGGACTAATCGAATAGAGCATTTAAGGCGAAGTCGCGGCCAACATTTTAATTAAATAATCTTTTAACATTAAATTATATTGACCATACCATCGATTCAAATCAAGATTTCATACATATATTTTACTGATTTTTATGTGTTTTTACTCCTATTTAAAGTAGGAAAGCTATTAAAAAATCGCCCTTTATATTCGTTGCCATTAGTTATCGGTCATTGCACACTCTACGTTAGCAATTGCATTTGCCTAGGAGCTAAGCCGCTAGCCGCGTACACATACACTCGCGCGACAACGCTGCCGTAATTTTAAGTTTTGTCGTTTCCGTTTTCAATCGCTGGAGTAGTGCAATTGTTGGCTTGCCTCAATGCGATCCTACAGTGCGTGCGTACGGTATAGTAATGCCGTTGGGCTTATATCAAAAGTAAGCCCTTATAAGGATTTTTTTTGCATTCACTCGTCACTTAGCTTGTCTACACTGCGTGCTTTTGACATACTACTCGTTAGTTTCCTGATATTGTACATATACCTATAAATACATTTTTAATACCTCGTCGATACGAATAAAAATAAAAAAAATAAAGGCAAGCAAGGAAATCGAAAACCTAAGGCACAAACTAGATATTTGCATGAAAAGTGTTAACCTCGTATCGCTATCTTTAAACCCGGTGGAGATAGAGTGTCCTTATTTATTATTAATTAATTAAATAATTAATTATTAATAAGGCCAAGCAAAATAACGTTGAAAAATCCGCCCTCCCTGGCAAATCATCTGGGCGGATAAGACTGTGAATTTAAAAATTTACAAGCTGTTATGGTTATGACGGTTGTTTGCGCACTTGGCGCTTGTATTTAAATCACTAGTTGTAGGGCGAGAGCGGGAGCCAATAAAGCTTTCGTCCGTTCGCTCTTGCGAATTCGCCCCGTCACTCGCCACCGTAGCATAAGTTAGGTTCTAAGAGAAATTATTGAAATATAAAAGTGAGTGATCAATCGAAAGTCATCGTAGCCACTCCACGACGACGTGCTTTCGAAATAGTTTTTCACAAGTTTCGCAAATTAACATCGTCTCGAACTACTGCAGTCACAAGTTTTCGCGTTATAAATAGAAAAAAGCATTAATTTTCATGGTGACCCCGACGTGATTAGCAGTAGAGCTCGCGAGTTTTAATTTTTTTTTCGGTGAAAAACT